CTCTAGAATGGTTGTTCATGATTGCTATCCCAGCACTCAAAGTTTGAGACAAGAGAATTAACAAAGCCAGCCTGGGCAAGACTCTGTCTCAAAATAAATAAATAAATAAATGAATGAATGAATGAATGAATGAATGAATAAATAAATAAATCTTAGGTTGGAGAGATTGATCTGTGGTCAAGAGCACTGGCTTCTCTTACAGATGACCCAGCTTCTGTTCCCAACATCCACATGATAGTTAATAGCCATACTTTACAGTATTCATCTCCCTCTTCTGACCTCCATAGCTATAGCACACATGGGTGCACTTAGGTACATGCTGGCAAAACACTCATACATAAAATAAAAATAAATATATCTAAGAAAAATAAAAAGAACAAAGTAAACTAATTTAAAGAGATCAGAGGAATTCTTCTTACATACAACTTTATATGCAGTTCTATAGTTTCATTTATTTAATTTTTTTATTTTTTAAAATATTTTATTTATTATTTTTATTATTTCATGTGTATGAGTGTATTGCTTGCATGTATGTGAGTGCACCCGTGTTGTACAATGCTGCGGAGGCAGAAGAGGGCTTTGGATTCCCCTTGAACTGGAGTTAAGGACGATTCATAGCCACCATATGGGTGCTGGTAATCGGTCCGGGGTCCACTGCAAGAGCCGTCAGTACTCTTAACCACTGAGCCATCTCTCCAGTCCCTATTTAGTTTTATTTATCCTAATATACAATATATACATATTTGATGCATAATATACACTGTATGTAAATTTCTTACTATATTCTTACAGAAATACCACCTTATAAACATTGAAATGAACTTTCTGTCTTTTCTTTTCCATCATGTGACCTTAATATTCATTTTGTCATAAAAATTTGGGTAAACTGGTCATGAAATATTCAAGGAAGCAAAAGAAAATTGAAATCCTTATCCGTTTTACTTATTGCAATAGAAAGGGTTACTGTCATTTGTAAAAATGGAATAGTTTCTGTAAATCAGTAAGGATAATAGAGTTCTCTAAAATTATGTCACATTATATCTAATAGCGCATGGCACACATGCAGCTAATAAGCATTAACTTATGTCAACAGTATTATTAATGCTAATTATGGTAGTTATAATAAAGACTTGTAATAAAAATTACACTTCTACTAGTAATGATAACAATAGTAATGATATCATTATGTTAAAAAGTACTAGATATCTTAAATACAAATAAGAGTGTAAATTTGATCAAATTCACAGTATGATCCTACCATATCTGGGACTTGTTAAAGGACAATAGATATAATGGATAAATGTAGATCCAAAATGTCTGTTAAATGTGAATTAACAAAAATAAGGATGTGCATATTTTGATGAGTTTGAAGCCAATTTTGCTACATGTAGTAGACTTTCACAAGTCATTATATATCTTATTATATCTAACATGTAACTTTTTGTATTTGAAGAATGTAAAAGAAATGTGAGTTAACGTTGACTAAATCATAATATTTTATTTCACATTCTAGATGTCAGAAACATACTGATTTCCATAAGCTTGAAAAATATAACTTAGTCTTTAGTATTTGTATAGTTTGCTAAGTTAAGAAAACTACATTAAATTCTTTCCCATGCAGTGATTAGAATTTCATTTTTACCTCAGCAAATGATTTCTAAGACTAAAGGGAATATAAAAGTACATTTTCAATCTTCTGAAACAAATTTCAGATTATAATATGCTACTGAAAATTAGCAAAATGATAGCGAATTTTGCTGAAGTGGAATGATTCTTCCTTTTTCAGATAATTCTCCAGGTTATTGATTTTCTCCTCTTCATTTGCCTCTCCTACCCACACCTCTTTTAGACTTTATGATCTTTCCAGAAGAAGAGTTATCAAGGAACAGAAACAAGCTGAAATTAATAATAGTTTTGCTGCTTTTTAGCTTTTTATATAATAGAGATTTAGAAATCATTTATGAAAGTGAAGTTGAAAATAGTATGTAGTTTTCATATAAATTACCCTCATCTATACATTATACTGATGACAATTTAATCTCTCCATTGTTGGAAAATTATTTATATTGTGAATAATTCAACATTCTTCTATTCTCCCTTCTTTGTCTTGACATACACTTCTATTATGCTGCATTAATCTTCACCACTGCTATTTACACAAGAGCAACCCCTTGCTGTCGTTTCCTTACTCCCAGTCTCACAGCAGTCCTAATCTAAAGCATCACTATTAACAGAGTGACCTACACAATAGAAGTCAAACCTGATCATTCCCTTGTTTATCTTCTGATATGTTCCTTTACTTGCAATGTAAAATTGATACAAGGAGTTTCTTGCTTCCATGTGTATGCTAATATTTCTGACTACATGCTCACATCAGTTGCATGCTCACAAACCTTCTTTTTTTTTTTATTTTATTTTAGCCATTGGTTCCTGTAAGGCTCAGATCCAGAGGACAATATCAGGAGGTATTATTCTTTTACCACAATTCAACTTACACAATCTAAACCATCTAATCTCTTTGTAACTATGCAGAGTACACATGATCAGTCTTGTCACTTTATTTTGAAAATAACTGTGTTGGTCTTCTACAATCTAAATCCCTCAAGGAGAGGGACTAGACTTCATATCTTTTATAATTCCAGGCAATAGCTTGTGGCTACTGAAGATTAAGCATTTCACATATAAGGCCATACAATAATATCTATATCGAGACACACTTTATCAAAATGTGAGAGGACAGTAATTGTCCATGTTTCCAAATTTTTAATTTTTACCTTAGTAAATTTGTATCTTAGTAAAAAGATTATGTACGTTTATTACTATGTGGCTTACCTACAGTATTGGCTTTTGGTTGGTTATTCATTTCCAACATTTATGAGCTACCTCTGGTAATATTTCTGTTAACATTAATATTTCCAACATAATATTCACTATTTAATTGAAGTTGTTAGACTTACTTCTGCTTTGGAGTTCAACTGCAAGCTGTCTCTCAAGGTTTTCTCGAATTTCTCTTTCTCTGTAGAGCTCAATTCTCAGCTCCTTCTTTTCTTGCTGAATCTGCTTCTCCTGGATGCGAGCGTTATCCAAAGCCACTTTCAGTAGACCCTGTCAAAGTACAGCAAATGACGGACAGTTCATCTTATCTGTTTTAACTCAAAAATATTAAATAATTTGTGTAGGTGCTAATGTCTTGTATTACATTTATTTTGTTTATAGAAATATTGTTGACCTGAATGTTGGTCAACAGAGTCTCCACGGAGGACAGACTATCAGCAAAAATGAATGGTCCAGGGAATCCAGGGGGCAATGCCTGTCCAGGAGCCAACTGGATCTTGTCCAAGGGTGACTTCATCATTGGAATTTGAGCTGGTACCTCTTCTGTAAAAATAAAATTATTGTCAGAAGATTCAAAAAGTTACAGCTCAAATCTTCAGCTGTTTTTAATTTCTCAAAATACAACATTCAGTATAGAGCTGATGAAAATGAAGCATTTATTGCTAAAGAGGCATGATATTGGAAATAATATTTAATATATATACAAAACAGAGATATATATTTATGAATATTCCTAAGCTACAGAATTAGATCACTACTTACTTTTTTTCAGACATTTCTATGAATCTACCTACCTATCTTCATTATTTTTAATTCCTTCATTGATGTAAGTTTTAAATAAAATATAATCAATCTATTTAAGAGTACATTTTATTATTAATAATTTTACACATTTGTTTAACCATTTCAAAAAACTATTTTAGAATATCACAATTACCCCAAAGTGTACTTCAGAGTCAGTTACAGATAGACTCCATCCCCAACATACTCATTGGCAATGATGTTTTACTTTGTCTTTAAAGATTTGAGTTTTCTGATTATTTCACAGAAATAAAATCATACAACACGTGGTAGCCTGTGTTGAGATCATTTTGCTCAACACTACTTTATTTTCAGATTTATATGTATGTGTTATATAACAGTAGGCTTTTCACTTATATGCTGACTAACATTTCATGTGAACATACAAACATTGATTTAAATGCCTGGAATTTCGATACTTTTCAGTGTTAATTTTAATTCTGAATATTATTTCTTATGAGAAAAATTTAAGTAATATCTCCTATCATTTTTTCCTTTCATATTACCTCCCATGTTTTTAATATTTTCATTGAATTTTTATTAATGTTTCAGATTTGTTTGGACCAATACATGTAACAATAAAATTAATTTCTTCCCATCACAAGAAGTCAGGCAATTTGACCATCTACTTGAATTCTTACAGATAATCTTCTCTGTGACATTCATGTACTATTTAGCATAATTTCCTCTATATATAAAATGGGGTAATTTGGGCAATTTTAAGTAAAACTTTCTAGGGAGACAATATTGGAATGTGAGCCAACATAGTTATTCCTAACTATATTTCAATAATAATGAATGAGAGGATAAATCATAGAACCTCAGTAGCCTCTGCAGGTTTTTGTAATTTCAGCAACAGAATATAACTAAAGATTGAAAAATATGTTTCTCTCTCATTGGAGAAAATGTTAGTGATTCAATACATTTAAATCAGACTCATTAAAATTTACATCTTCTAGATTTGAATTTAGACTTAAGCAGTTTTCACTTGTTTTGAAAATAACCAAATAACAACAATACAATCTAGCTAATGGACTATTTTCTGTACATATGAAAATCTGAATTTGTCATGCAGTTAGACTTCATTTTTCAATTAGAAGCAGCTAATATACACATACATACATACAAATACACTCTCTCATACACACACATACTTATGTATATATTAATGCAGAGTCTTATATCCCACTGATTTCACAATAATCGTATTTTGTTGTGTGCTTCCTTCTGAGGGAAGTTGTGCCATATGATTGCTGGAACCTTCAGTGAGAGGACTTAATGGGAATACATTATTTGAACAAAATGTTCTTAATATAGGTCATCTTTACATTTTCCAATTTTGCAAGACCAATAACGTTTAAAATTTTAGCTGATAATACCAAAGAATAAGATGTTTTTCATTATTTGGATGCAAATATAAAGAATACTTATCAGTTTTAAAGAGTTAGATAAAATGCACAAACAATTCTATTAACCATATTTTGCTAAGTAAATTGAAATATCTTCCCAGAAATTGTCTTATAGAAAATGTTACAATGATCATTGTGTTTTCTACAACATCTTTATGGCATTATTTTCATAGTTACTAATTATTTTAATATTCATTCTTCTTAAATATTTTATGTATTATCATTTATTTTATACGTATGAGTGTATTGTTGCATGTATATAAGTGCAGCCATATTGTGCAATGCCCGGGGAGGTCAGAAGAGGGCCCCAAATCCCATGGAACTGGAGTTTCTTAAGGTTTTTAGCAGCCACGTGGGTTCAGGGAAGCAAATCCTGGTCCTCTGCAAGAGCAACCAGTGCTCTTAACCACTGAGCCATCTCTCCAGCACCTCGATGAAAATTCTTAAAATTTTAAGTCTAATCTCTTTGGAGAGGGGTGAATGGCCTGGCTATATAACCCAGGATGGCCTCTGGTGCTACATTTTCCAATCTCAGCTTCTGCAGCGTTGAACTGTTATGATTGCCAGGATACACCACCATACCCAACTAGCCTAAAGCTCTTGTAGAATCTCAATCCCTCCCTCCTTTTCTCTTCCTTCTTACCTTCTCTCCCTTCTTCTGTCCTTTCATTGTCTTCTCCCTCTCTCAACTGGTAACTTTGAAAGTTTCAAACAAACAAATGTTTGTGAAAGAATCAGCAAATTCTCACAAATTCTGTGAACCTTATTCACCAACATGTTTTCATTTGAAATAAATTTTTACAAGACTATATTTTATTGAATTTCAGTGTATTTCATACATCTTAATCATATTTAGAGACCTCCTCTATCTGAAGGTCCCCCCAGCCCCCCCAAACAGGATTTAATACAATTCTATCATATATGTTAAAGGGGATCAAGTGAATTTTGTGTCCTCGGACATCCCTTGGTGTGAGTTTATCCACTGTAGCTGATCAGACTATCTAAAATCACTCCCTTAAAGAAGACCAACTCTCCCTCACCCAGTAGTGATCAGCTGCCAAGAGTTCCTAAGTTAAGGTTGGGTCTTCTTACCCTTTTTCTCACTTCTATGCTGTGTTTTTGTCTGATGGAATTTGCATGCATCTGTGCATGCTGGCTTCATTGCTGTAAGTTCATATGAGTAAGTTCTCACCTGCCTGGAAAACTATGATTCCATGTGGTTATCCACCACCCCTAGCTCTTAAAATCATTCTCCCCATCGTCTGGAATTGTCCCAGAACCTCAGCTCTCTGGGTGGGGTTGAATATAGTAGTCCTACCTAGGGACACACAATCTGTAGTCTCTTTTTCTCTACATTTTGACCAGTTGTGACTTTATCTACCCCCTCTTTCACTATTTTCCCTGAGCCTTAGGTGTAGGGGTTCCATTGTAGATGTGTTAGTTAGAGCTGGGCATCTCACAGACTCTTGTTCTCTGTGTTTGACCAGTTTTGGAACTCTGTCATAGTCTCCATGTACTGCAAAATAAGCTTCTTTGATGAGTGGTGTCATGTATACTTGTCTATAAATTTCATGATTTTTGTTTTTCTTTATTGATGAGTCAAACTCCATGATGTAAATGTACCATGTTTTCATTATCTGTTCATCAGTTGAGGGACATTTAGGTTGTTTCTATTTCTTAGCTATTGTAAAAAGAGCAGCAACAAATATGTCTGTGAATGTATCTCTACAGTAGGATGAGTAATTTGGGTAGATGCAGAGAAGTGTTATAACTGGATCATATGGTACATTTATTTTTAGTTTTTAAAGAGTTCTCCACACTGCTTTCCATAGTGGTTGCACCAGTTTTCAATCCCACCAGCTCTGAAAACTCTCCCTGCATCCTACCCAGCATTTAGTGTAACTCATCAATCCTACAACATGTCTTAACTAACACCTCTAACATTTTTAACATAAATTTCTTAACAACTAGTTGAGTAATATTCTGCTCATTTTTGTGTGTTATCTATATTTTTGTCTTCCCCAGATTAGTGCAGTGAGAGAAAAGTAAAACTTTATGAGGATTTATCAATACTAATTACAGCTAAAGATGTTCTACATCCTTACATTTATTGCTTTAAATCTTAAAGTATGTATTTATATACATTGAAATTTATTTTAAAAAATTGAATTGCTACAAACAAAATATTGACATTTTACTGATCCAAAGACAATGCAATATTTCCCTTAATATTTTGTGTTACAGTTGGAAATTAATGGATTTCTTATCATATATCACTCTATGCAAATAGATAACTGCAATAATGAGACAATAAGAGATAGTCTTTCTGAAAAGAAAGCAATTATAATTACGTCAAAATCACTAGAAGTCTTCTATTTGAAGATGAAAGAAATGCCATTAAATTGGCTGAAAGGAAAATTACTATTGATTATGAAGACAGGTTGCATGGTCTATAGTTTGTAATGTTGCTGTACAGTAGATTGAAGTTTCAAAATAGTATTACTCTTCTTTAAAGAGATAGACACAGCTGAATTAGGTGCTGCTTGCTGCAGTGAAGATCAAATGCAAAAAGAATCATATTTCATCAGACCCAGTCAACACCAGGAAAATAAATAGAAATATAAGAGGTATGCAGGCAATGATTCATTTTGATAATCTGGCCCAAGAGAGACACATAGAGACAGCACACAGATCTAAGCTTCTACCAAAAGACAAATAGGACACAGAGGGTGGGAACTGGGATGACAGTGTAGCAGAGGTCACATCGATTTTCAGCAGCAGTTTTCACACAGATGAGATAACCCTGGACTCTATTTGGACCATTGTTCATATCCTACCTGTCCCACAAACAATAAATTTTCTGGTCCTAAAAAAGGGCAGTAAAGAAGAAGGACTCTACTTATGACTTTTTATGATTAAGTTTCTGTGCTAACCAAACATGCTTTTCAGATCAAGGTCACATTGCATTTTAAGGTCTGTAATAGCCAAAATATAGTATAAGTATATTATGTTTTAGTGTACATGAGTGAAAACTGTCAAGCTATTCTTCAGGATTTTTTTCCTGATTTAAATCGTGTGCTAAAAAGTAACTAATAAATGATTTTAGAGTTGATTTTAATCTTGTGAAAGGTTTTAACATCTGAGTGCAATCTACATTTTGCTCAGAGTTTGCATAAATGCAGGGTTGTGTAGATACTTATTAGATAGGCTTGAGTCATCCTAATTGGCAATAAAATTAAAAACAGATAAGTGTTAGGAGCGTAGATTGACAGTTTCTTAACTGTCTCCTTGTAAACCCAGGAGAAAGGATTTTGATAAGAGTATTTTGATTTA